TCTCATCTCCCCAACAAAATGCCGATTCAAAATGCCTTTTGAAACATGCAAACTTAAGTTCCAACTTTTCAGCAAAAAAAATTTCCAATGAAAATTGGCATTTTCCTGAAGCCTATAGGCTTGGATTTTTCTTGACATTTAAGCTGAAAAATTCACCAAAAATTAAAGCAAAAAGTCGACCAGAACAACTCAAACGTCAATTAAAGGATGCTAGTGAGAGTTTAAATCATTTCTGCCAACCCTTCGGAAAAAAATATTATCCATAAAAAATCGATGTTTTACAAAGGCTATAGGCTTGCATTTTTGTCAAAACTTTTAGGCTAATAAATCAACAAAAACAAAACCAAAAATTCCACTAGACTAACTCAAAACGTGAATTATATGATCCTAGTGAGGGTTTGAATCATTTCTACGAGGAATTTTGCACTAAAAAATTTTCATCAAAATTCGATATTTTCCAAAGGCTATAACCTTCCATTTTTTCTCCAAATTTTAGCTAAAAAATCAATAAAAGCAAAACAAAAAATTCCACCAGACTGACTCAAAACGTGAATTAAATGATCCTAGTGAGGGATTGAATCATTTCTACGAGGAATTTTGCACTAAAACATTTTCATCAAAATTCGATATTTTCCAAAGACTATAGCCTTGCATTTTTTCTCAAAATTTTAACTGAAAAATCATCAAAAACTAAACAAAAAAGTCGACCAGACTAACTCAAAACGTGAATTCAATGATCCTAGTGAGGGTTTGAATCATTTTTAAAGGGGCTTTTGCATTAAAAATATTCCATCAAAAATCGATATTTTTCAAAGGCTATAGCCTTGCATTTTTTCTTAAAATTTTAGCTGAAAAAATCAACAAAAACAAAACAAAAAATTTCAACAGACTAACTCAAAACGTGAATTAAATGATCCTAGTAAAGGTTTGAATCATTTCTTAATGGGCTTTAGCACTGAAAATATTCCATCAATATTCGATATTTTTCAAAGGTTATAGCCTTGCATTTTTTCTTAAATTTTTAGCTGAAAAAATCAACAAAAACAAAACAAAAAATTTCAACAGACTAACTCGAAACGTGAATTAAATGATCCTAGTAAGGGTTTGAATCATTTCTGAAGGGGCTTTTGCACTGAAAATATTCCATCAAAAATCGACATTTTCCAAAAGCTATAGCCTTGCATTTTTTCTTAAAATTTTAGCTGAAAAAATCAACAAAAACAAAACAAAAAATTTCAACAGACTAACTCAAAACGTGAATTAAATGATCCTAGTAAAGGTTTGAATCATTTCTTAATGGGCTTTAGCACTGAAAATATTCCATCAATATTCGATATTTTTCAAAGGTTATAGCCTTGCATTTTTTCTTAAATTTTTAGCTGAAAAAATCAACAAAAACAAAACAAAAAATTTCAACAGACTAACTCGAAACGTGAATTAAATGATCCTAGTAAGGGTTTGAATCATTTCTGAAGGGGCTTTTGCACTGAAAATATTCCATCAAAAATCGACATTTTCCAAAAGCTATAGCCTTGCATTTTTTCTCAAAATTTCAGCTAAAAAAATCAAGAAAAACAAAACAAAAAAGTTCACCAGACTAACTCAAAACGTAAATTAAGTGATCCTAGTGAGGGTTTGAATCATTTCTAAAGAGATTTTGCACTGAAAATATTCCATCAAAATGCAATATTTTTCAAAGGCTATAGCCTTGCATTTTTTCTCAAAATTTTAGCCGAAAAAATCAAGAAAAACAAAACAAAAATTTCCACAAAACTAATTCAAACATGATTTAAATGATCCTAGTAAAAATTTGCATCATTTCTAAAGGGACTTTTGCACTGAAAATATTCCATCAAAATTCGATATTTTTTAAAGGCTATAGCCTTGCATTTTTTCTCAAAATTTTAGCCGAAAAAATCAAGAAAAACAAAACAAAAAATTCCACAAAACTAATTCAAACATGATTTAAATGATCCTAGTGAAAATTTGCATCATTTCTAAAGGGACTTTTGCACTGAAAATATTCCATCAAAACTCGATATTTTTCAAAGGCTATAGCCTTGCATTTTACTTGAAATTTTAGCTGAAAAAATCAACAAAAACAAAACCATAAATTCCACCAGACTAACTCAAGACGTAAATTAAATGATCCTAGTGAGGTTTTGAATCATTTCTAAAGGGGCTTTTGCACTGAAAATATTCCATCAAAATTCGATATTTTTCAAAGGCTATAGCCTTGCATTTCTTCTTAAAATTTTAGCTGAAAAAATCAACAAAAACAAAACAAAAAATTCCACCAGACTAACTCAAAACGTGAATTAAATAATCTTAGTAAGAGTTTTTTACATTTCTAAAGGGACTTTTGCACTGAAAATATTCCATCAAAATTCGATATTTTTCAAAGGCTATAGCCTTGCATTTTACTTGAAATTTTAGCTGAAAAAATCAACAAAAACAAAACAAAAAATTCCACCAGACTAAATCAAAACATGATTTAAATGATCCTGGTAAGAGTTTGGATCATTTCTAAAGGGGCTATTGCACTGAAAATATTCCATCAAAATTCGATATTTTTCAAAGGCTATAGCCTTGCATTTTTTCTTGGAATTTTGGCTAAAAAAATCAACAAAAACAAAACCATAAATTCCACCAGACTAATTCAAAACATGAATTAAATGATCCTAGTTTGGGTTTGAATCGTTTCTGAAGGGGCTTCTGCACTGAAATATTCCATCAAAATGCGATATTTTTCAAAGGTTATAGCCTTGCATTTTTTCTTAAAATTTTAGCTGAAAAAATCAACAAAAACAAAACAAAAAATCCACCAGACTAACTCAAAACGTGAATTAAATGATCCTAGTAAGGGTTTGAATCATTTCTAAAGGGGCTTTTGCACTGAAAATATTCCATCAAAATTCGATATTTTTCAAAGGTTATAGCCTTGCATTTTTTTTCAAAATTTTAGCTGAAAAAATCAACAAAAACAAAACAAAAAATTCCACCAGACTAACTCAAAACGTGAATTAAATGATCCTAGTGTGGGTTTGAATCATTTCTAAAGGGGCTTCTGCACTGAAATTATTCCATCAAAATGCGATATTTTTCAAAGGTTATAGCCTTGCATTTTTTCTCAAAATTTTAGCCGAAAAAATCAACAAAAACAGAACAAAAAATTCCACCAGACTAACTAAAAACGTGAATTAAATGATCCTAGTAAGGGTTTGAATCATTTCTAAAGGGGCTTTTGCACTGAAAATCTTCCATCAAATTCGATATTTTTCAAAGGCTATAGCCTTGCATTTTTCTTAAAATTTTAGCTGAAAAAATCAACAAAAAAAAACAAAAAATTCCACCAGACTAACTCAAAACGTGAATTAAATGATCCTAGTAAGAGTTTGAATCATTTCTAAAGGGACTTTTGCACTGAAAATATTCCATCAAAATTCGACATTTTCCAAAAGCTATAGCCTTGCATTTTTTCTCAAAATTTTAGCTAAAAAAATCAAGAAAAACAAAAAAAAAAGACCACCAGACTAACTCAAAACGTGAATTAAATGATCCTAGTGAGGTTTTGAATCATTTCTAAAGGGGCTTTTGCACTGAAAATATTCCATCAAAATTCGATATTTTTTAAAGGCTATAGCCTTGCATTTTTTTCAAAATTTTAGCTGAAAAAATCAACAAAAACAAAACAAAAAAAAAAATTCCACCAGACTAAATCAAAACATGATTTAAATGATCCTGGTAAGAGTTTGGATCATTTCTAAAGGGGCTATTGCACTGAAAATATTCCATCAAAATTCGATATTTTTCAAAGGCTATAGCCTTGCATTTTTTCTTGGAATTTTGGCTAAAAAAATCAACAAAAACAAAACCATAAATTCCACCAGACTAATTCAAAACATGAATTAAATGATCCTAGTGTGGGTTTGAATCGTTTCTGAAGGGGCTTCTGCACTGAAATTATTCCATCAAAATGCGATATTTTTCAAAGGTTATAACCTTGCATTTTTTCTTAAAATTTTAGCTGAAAAAATCAAGAAAAACAAAACAAAAAAGTCCACCAGACTAACTCAAAACGTGAATTAAATGATCCTAGTAAGGGTTTGAATCTTTTCTAAAGGGGCTTTTGCACTGAAAATATTCCATCAAAATTCGATATTTTTCAAAGGTTATAGCCTTGCATTTTTTTTCAAAATTTTAGCCGAAAAAATCAACAAAAACAAAGCAAAAAATTCCACCAGACTAATTCAAAACGTGAATTAAATGATCCTAGTGTGGGTTTGAATCATTTCTAAAGGGGCTTTTGCACTGAAAATATTGCATCAAAAATCGACATTTTTCAAAAGCTATATCCTTGCATTTTTTCTCAAAATTTTAGCTAAAAAAATCAAGAAAAACAAAAAAAAAAAGACCACCAGACTAGCTCAAAACGTGAATTAAATGATCCTAGTGAGGTTTTGAATCATTTCTAAAGGGGCTTTTGCACTGAAAATATTCCATCAAAATTCGATATTTTTTAAAGGCTATAGCCTTGCATTTTTTCTCAAAATTTTAGCCGAAAAAATCAAGAAAAACAAAACAAAAAATTCCACCAGACTAACTCAAAACATGAATTAAATGATCCTAGTGAGGTTTTGAATCATTTCTAAAAGGGCTTTTGCACTGAAAATATTCCATCAAAATTCGATATTTTTCAAAGGTTATAGCCTTGCATTTTTTTTCAAAATTTTAGCCGAAAAAATCAACAAAAACAAAACAAAAAATTCCACCAGACTAATTCAAAACGTGAATTAAATGATCCTAGTGTGGGTTTGAATCATTTCTAAAGGGGCTTCTGCACTGAAATTATTCCATCAAAATTCGATATTTTTCAAAGGTTATAGCCTTGCATTTTTTCTCAAAATTTTAGCCGAAAAAATCAAGAAAAACAAAACAAAAAATTCCACCAGACTAACTCAAAACGTGGATTAAATGATCCTAGTGAGGGTTTGAATCATTTCTAAAGGGGCTTTTGCACTGAAAATATTCCATCAAAATTCGATATTTTTCAAAGGCTATAGCCTTGCATTTTTTCTTAAAATTTTAGCTGAAAAAATCAACAAAAACAAAACAAAAAATTCCACCAGACTAACTCAAAACGTGAATTAAATGATCCTAGTGTGGGTTTGAATCATCTCTAAAGGGGCTTCTGCACTGAAATTATTCCATCAAAATGCGATATTTTTCAAAGGTTATAGCCTTGCATTTTTTCTAAAAATATTTAGCTGAAAAAATCATCAAACACTCAACTTTATAATCGACCAGACTAATTCAAAACGTGAATTAATTGATTCTAGTTAGGTTTTGAGTCGTTTCTACGAGGGCTTTTTCACCAAACAATTTCCATCAAAATTCGAAATTTTGTTAACGCTATAGGTTTGCATTTATCTTCAAAATTTTAGCGGAAAAAAATATCAAAAACTAAACCATTAATTCGACGAGACTAACTATAAACCTGATTTAAGTGATGCTAGGTGATAGTTTGAACCAGTTTTAGGAGGGCTTTTTATTCAAAATCATTGAATCAGAAAACGACATTTGAAATAGCTTATGGCATTGAGTTTTCTTCAAAAATACAGGGGTGAAAAATCACAACAAACTACTGCATAGAATTTACCAGAGTATACTGTAAGCTGTAAGCAGAGTATGGTTACACAGCATAGTATTATCAATTCTGATTCTCTCCATAGTCTCTTTAGCCAATTGATAGGCCTTTTTCTGGCGCTTGAAACGTATGAAAAATAGAACTGAAAATGAGCTCACCAACTTCAGCTTTAAAGTAAGCAATAGAATCGAATGCAGCCCGGTAGAATGCTCATTTAGTCGTTTGCATCGCAAGGTAAAACTTTTGCTCTCCATAGTCCAATTTCAGGTAGTCTTGTAACGTGTGAGAATGAAACTATGGCAACATAAAGTTTATAAACCAAAGGCCAATGCACACTTGCACGCTTGTTGCTTTGGCCGAATAAAAGAGACAATGTAATGCTTACTCGAGCAGCACTACAATGAATACAAACTCAATAATCGTGCAATCTGTGCCAAAATAAAAAGCCCAAGGGGCACCAGAAAAGCGTACCTTGTCACATATTAAACGTAATAAAATTTAATTTAATCAAGCTAAACATGACCAGAATAATTAAAAGCATGCTAGTGATAGTTTGAACCAGTTTTACGAGGGTTATTGCTCGAAATTGTTTCTATCAAAAATCGATGTATTTCATTGCCTAAGAAAAACAGGTAATGGTAGACTCAACTAGCACGATTCTATCTATATAAAGTGTGAATTTTTTAAAAGAATTTAAAAAAAATTAAAATGGGGGGAATTTGGCTGTTTTTTATAGTGGTCAAGGTCAAAATTTAAGGAATCTTTTGATGCACTTTACTCAGGTTCATCTCATAATCATTTTCAAGAATCCTTGTTACCTCTTATATTCATAGTAAGTATGGTCTTTTTTATTTTGCTATGTACAAAAGTTCAGTCGTGTTTTTCGTGACTTTGACTATGACCTCATTTTCGTGTACTCTTGTCATAATGTCTTGAATAATTATGACGTCATTTCTCTTTTTGGACATCTTTCTTTTAAAAATGAAACATCATAATCTCTGCTATGTCTATGGTGATTTTTGTCAACATAGACTAAGGAACAACGATTTAAGAGTCGGAGGGGGGGGGGGCTGAATGAGTTCCTCCTTAATCTGCTAGCAGCTCAAAAGCCCGGTCTAGATAGGGTTAATGTGTAATTGCACTTTAAAATCCAATTGCACTATAGTCCAATTTTTTTCTCAAAAGTTCAACGCCAATCAAATTGTCCATGAATAAAACGTCTTTTAATTATGTAAGTGAAGGTTTGAGTCACATTTACAAAGTTTATTGACATAAAAATTTCCGTAAAAATATTTGTCAACTTTGTCATTAATACTGTGTCAGACTTGCACCTTATACTTGATGTAAACAATTTAATTTATTTGGAGTCAACTCAGGCATAAGGATCATACCAATATATGACAAAAGCAGAAACAATTTTGAAACAGATGGCTTTTATGAAATAGTTGATTTATCATATTGAAATATAAAAATATAAGCAAACTCACGTATAGGGATTTTATTTGAATTGACCTTAAAGGCATTCATGTGAGGTTCATCATGGGAACTCGAGCTCGTCAACAAACTTGAGCCTTGCCCTGGGCGCATCCGGTTTATTAAAACTTTATGATGCGAATCTGTAATTATTTCTTCTGCTTAAAAGCTCGGTTCTTTTCTACCTGTAACCGTGTTTTAACACTGTATGATAACGAAGGGATCAACAAAAATAGTGCTAACTAACGAATTTTCGAGTTAACGAGCCACCCAGAGCTGGAAAGTACTGAAGAAGGTTCAAACGGGATGCAGAGCAGCACGAGATAAGGAAAGTTCGAGATACTGAGGGTTCGAGTTATCAGGGCTTCTAGCTGAGGAAGGTTTAAGAGAGTGAAAAACAGTTGATCAGGGGGTTGAGTTACCAGGGGTTAGAGATACCGAAGGTCAACATATTAGCGATTCGAGATACCAGGTTAGTACTGTAGCAATTTACTTTAACAAGAACCTTCTTTTTGCTAGAGAGGATTGAGAAATAAGTACAGGATTGTCATAGGCTAAGCAAAAATGAACATGTTAACTATCGACTATATATTTAAGGTGTTTTCTATATTTCGAGAAAAAAAGCATTTGCTCATATGAAAGATTCTTATGTGCAAGAGTTACCGATCTGGCAACAATACTGAAATCTTAAAATCAATCTACTCTCGAAGATTTTCGATGAGCTTCGACCTGTCCAGTCCTTTGTTCAGGATTCTTTACGGCAACGTTTTCATTTAGAATCTACTATCCTTGAAGCGGTTCGGTACCACGAAACGAATCCACAACTGGATGTCATTTCCATTGGACAAGCACTTCAGCATTGCCATGCCAAGCAACTACAAAAAGCTCTCAAAGCAATAGAATCTTTGTTCAGAAGCTTTCCTTGTGAAACACATATGTATTCTTTTGATTTGTCTTCTTGTTACAGATTTGATGCAGTGTGGGATGAATTGCCTTTGAACCGCAGAAGAATACTCCAATTCTTTCGCTAGAAAACAAGGAATTGTTCAGGCAAGTAGTAGATAATAATGTCCAAAAAGCACATAAAAGAGGCCCTTCAAGTCAAAATTGTGTTTTTTGTTTGTTTGAAAAAGCCAATTTTTCTAAGAATGGTCCAGTGGCTACAGGGGCGCCTACACAGGGAGGGATGAAGGGGCAGCTGCCCCTCCTGCCCTCTTCGAAGAGGGGCAGAGGGGGCAATAAGTGCCCTGAAATATGATGACCACTTTGACTACTCTGGCTATGTTATTACTATTAGAAAATACTAGAAAGATGATAAAACCAGCATAAAAATGCAGAGAATGAAAAGTTTGTCGGTGACAAGGTCGGCCAAAAGAGGAAGAGCGACAAAGATAATAAATGATAAACAAAAGATGTGTACCCTCAGAAGTACTCCAGGAACCTAAGGTGGATAAATCGGTATAAAAATATAGCGTGCAATCAAAATTTTACAACCAGCCCATTTATAACAGCCATTATTTTTAAAAAACCAAATATTGTGAATAGTAAGTGACAAGGCCATTTAATAACCATTTTCATTTATGGATAATTTCGTCAACATTTTCTTTATATTTAGAATCTTTGATGGTAAAAAACCCAACTGCATGGGTGGCACCTATTAAAGTTAATATTTTATTATATTACCCCACCCTCGCCCCCCTCCCACCTAGGAATGTTCGATTATGTTAATAGAAAAATTCAATGATTTGCCTTCGGCACCAACACTGCCCCTCCTGCCCTAATCTTGTGCAGGCATCCCTGAGTGGCTATGATCACGGACTACAGATCCAAAGGTCTCGGGTTTGAGTCCCTACCATGAACAAATTTTCGACTAGAGTGAAGAGAGTCGCCAGCCAGGTGTAGGAATCGCGAGGTATGGACACATCGAGAGGAAGGACCAGGACACTGCTCCATAAGCACAGCTTCTTCGTGTCCTAAAGCTACCTTTAGAAGGGTAGTTTACCAAAGGCCATTTTTGGTCGGCGGAGCGGCCAAAAGGGCAAGGGGATAGGCTTGGGCATTTGAAAAAAATTCCCGGCCATCAAAAATTCTTTCGTATCTGTCATTTTGTTTCGATCTTCTGTAGGTATCTTGAAATTCTAACTTTTCGCATAAGAAATTTCCTAACAAGTTTTGAGAAATGTCATCATGAACATAGCAGTACAGTCAGGATTTCTTATGAATCCCTTGATAATTTTAAACAGCCGATATCAAGGACACTTCTATGGAAAGGGCATATTGGCCCCTTGCCACCCTATCAAATGCCAACGGAAAAGGTTGACCCCCCCCCCCCCCCCCCCCCCCCGGTTTAAAGAAGTAAAAGCAATAAATCTTCATTATAACTTAATCAACTCTATTGCATTATATTGATTTGGTTGTCAATAGTTCTTACTTTTCGTGCTGACAGTCAATTTTCTCAAATTCCTCTTTCCAAACAGGTCGACGACATTGCAAATGGTTGACTAGCCATTGTCTTCGTTGATCATATAAAGATGGATCCTAAATGTAAAGACAAAAATCCGTTATCAATCTAAAAAAAGTTGGTGCCAGTCTCAACAGGGATAAATGACATTTTTGCGCCCACGATTGATTTTGTAGGCTTATAAGAATAAGTGAAAATAATTTAATCATGTCACGAAAAGAATACAGTTTTTGACACGAGTGTCTGCAGAAACCAATTGAAAAACACTAACATAAATTTTCATAAAACACCATCCCCCCCTTAAATCATAACCTTCATTTTAAAAAAAGTGAAAGATGAGCTGGTAATATGTTTCCTTTTCTGGCTTATCTATAAGTTAAACTAAATATTAGCAGAAATAGGACCTTTTCAATGAAATAAAAGCATTTGTTCCGATAACGATGGACGATTTACTTGCCATTTCTGAAAGTGCTTGAGATCGTGTCACAAATAAGCGCGTTGACATCATTTCTTCTTCTGCATTTGAATTTAACTGAAAGATAAGTCACAAATTCACATACAGTTATTTAATTTCAAGATATTAAAAATCTTTGTACGACTAAAATTTTCCTAGAAAATAACTTTCGGCTAAATTTGATCTGATGCTCGCATAAGTCGTGAATCTCGGAGATGCAACATAGGTAGATCTTTCTGGTTTTATACACCTAAGTGTGTACAGCTTTGCATTTACAGTATCAAGCATTATATGACAGTTACAAGCAGAAACAAAGCAAAACGATGATGAAAATCCAGTATACAATAAAACCAAAACATTGAGAATAATGATAATAATAACGATAACCACCTGAATATTTGTCCGATACAAAATGTCAAGAAACCATGAAAAGTCATCGTGGGTTTTACAGACCCATAAAAAGTACAGCTTTGTAAGCTTTCCATAGGATTTCGACTCCTCTATAGTGTGTCTAAAAAATTAAATTTATTATCTAACAGGTGAAATAGATTTAAAAAATTATTTTACTGGGAACCTTTAATGAGATTTTGTTGTCAGAATGAAATTCATGTTGAGAGGGGGGTTCACATTTGAATGTTTTTTATCAATTATTCTCACTAAAGGAAAAATCTAGCCTCTTATAAATATTACCTGGCTGTTATGCAAATAATGTTGAATTGAATGGGAAGCAGTAAACAAGGAAATGAAATAGACTATGTACCTTATATGGTTAAGGACAGCCGCAAACGGGGTCACCCCAATGCCAGTTGTTATGATGAAGGCAACTCTAAACCTTGATACGTCCTGAAATACATAAAAGCTTTGAGTTTAAAAAGGGGCAACAGGTTAAAAAACGATTAGTAGTTTTAGATATTGTACAACAAAGTAAATTAATGTTTCACCTGAAATGGACTGCCATATGGCCCGTCGACTTGCAACCTAGAATTTGATTGGAATACTTAGTTAACATGATGTAATTTAGTCTCTACTGAATTGGATATATTAAGCATCATCATTATCATGCCTTTTTCATAATACATCATCGATAAAGTCTCACGGAAAAATGCAGTAAGTGCTACAGAGGTGTTACCCTGGATGCCAGAGCCTCAGAGAGTCAAAGGATGAAGAACGAGGAAAAGGGATTACGAAGGAGAATGGAAGAGGAAAGGGGAAAGACGCTTTTTTAAAATCCATTAAAAAGACGATTAAAGTCGATTAAAAAAAGACGCTCTGGCACCCAGGGTACAGAGGCGTATGATACATAGCCTCCCTATGAGACAAGGGAGGGCTGCAGCCCCCTTGTCAGGCAAAACCTGCCGCATCTCAGGCTGGACACGACAATGTGCTACAAGCCCATTCAAATCCACTTGTATCTATGTTAGCGAGATATACATTTAAATCCACTTGTATCTATGTATTTATGTGAAGATATAAAGGAATAGAATAAAGAAATTTAGACAACAAAACACACTTTTGTTGTCAATGTATTAATTCTAGATTTTTGAAAAATTATTCGTTACAGTTGTTACTTATTCATAATTTATCTACTAATGTAGATGTGAAGACCACTAGAAAATAACAGTAATCCTAAAATTGCTTGAAAAGACCATAAATTGTATGATATTTAATCAATTCATGGTTTGATGTAAAAATAGGAAATGGTTCATGGCAAGCCGTGCATTATTAGGTTCTTGCTTGGGCAAATATCAGCTACTCTATTAAAACCTAACGGCAAAAAGAGCATCAATTATAACATTTATAATCACCTCATAATAGTTTCTTCAACTGGGATTGCCATTACTCCAGGATTGGTATCTTGGACAGAAATCGTCCACGAGTCTCCAACACGACTAACGTGCTTGTTCACTATCACCATATTTTGCAGCAAAGTGGCCAGAAGTTCTGTTATGAAAAGTGTTAAATATTGTAGCCAGAAATGGTCAGATAAATATTCAAAGACTTGAGGACTATAGCTTCGAAATAACACTTTCAGGGACCTAAATCCCATCACCCCTTTATCCCGTGTCTTTTATTTGAACAGTCTTTAGTCAATTATTGTAACTGGCAAAGGCTATTGAAAGTTTTGAACTGAAACGGTTTGGTTTCACATAAATGAAACATCAGAAATTCGGGGAAAAAGGCAAGATAACTGAATTCAAAAGTGGGCAGAAGGCTTTAAGGTGCCATTGCAGAATTTTACAAGTGAGCGGCTGTTAAAAAATGGGATCATTTTTGTTAAATTTAGTTTAAAAAAGATGTAAACGTAACTTTTGTAAAAAAGTATGTAAAGCTGTAAGGCAAGATTAGTTGTGAGACTGTAAATTTGATCGTAAATTTAGCTAAATGACTTTGATGGAAGAGGAAAAGGGAGTTTTGTAGAGCAGACGACTAAAAAATGATTTCTTTGCAGTAACTCAGAGTCAAATTTTTTAACCACAAAAGTCTAAGGAGCATTTTGAATGACTTTTGGAAGGAACGACACTGCATAAGGTGATGAAATAGAATGCTACTTTTAGCAAGATGTTTTTCAAGGGGCGAGTTCCAAATATCAAAGGCACCTGGTCAGACAATTCAACAAAGATCATCCATATGAAGGTGGAGAGAAAAATAACCATACCAGTCCAATCTCCGGCAACTTTGATATGCACTGCGAATTCACTGCTTTCTTCCGTAGGACACTGGGAATAAGAGTCGAAGATAAACGAATTAGATACTTTGGCATCACGTGGGAAAGAAAATAAAGAAAGAAAAACAGGGGATGCAAAATGCAAATAAATTTCATTCAGATGAATGTTCAAACTAATGAAGGCAAACGAAAATTTGTATTGCAGATCTTCAACACTCTAGAGCTAGCAAGAGCCAGTAGTTCTCATGGCCACAAGAACTATGCTTCAGTAGCATCATTGCAGTATTAATTATTTCTTGAAGTGTCTTTGCATAAAAATTATAATTGGTATTCTAAATATTAGAGAGAAGGAGCAAGCCAGTAAGTGTTGAAAACTGTTATCGTTACCTCTGTCAATGTAAATGGATGCCATTCTAAGTGTGAAATGTCCCGGCAATTCAGCCTAACAAACTATAAAGAATGAGTTCATAAGGTTTCTTACAACTTATTAATTTTAAAATAAGAAGCAGGAAACAAAAAATACTGCATTTAAGAATCCTGACGGCCTTTTATATGTTAGATGAAAATAAGAGAGCAACGTTCACATTTAGTTTTTTGGATTTAGTTGTAAACTCTAAATAAATTTCAGAATAGGATTTCAAAACGTTTGGTGATTTTTAAGTATTCTAGAATGTTTTAGACAAGATGAGTAAAATAGGCAAATATTCTAGGAATATTCCTAGAGTTTCTCATGGACCAAGGACCATAAAATAGAGTACACAAGACGAGAAAAACATGCAAACATTCTACGCTGAAGTACGCTGATATACAAAGGTAATGCTCACCTGGCCTGGAAGAGCTGAAAAGCCCTGCTTTTTCATCCGTAGCTCTAGTATCTCTCCGCTGTGAAAGATCGCCTATGATGATTGAAGAACACAATGCAACTTTCTCAAACCTGATACATAGAAGATGCAAGTGTCTTAAACCGAACAAAGCTTTTGGAAAGCTCTTTGTGAAAATCTGTTTGACACTTATTCCCTTTTTATACTACAGACTCTCTCAAGTAGTCATCTTATTATCTTCCTGATAAAAATTTTCATTAATTTTTCAAGCTTTTTGCAATTCATTTTTATATCTAATAATGTATCAATAAAAAATTTTGACTGCCGTGAGAGATGCAACAACAAATTGAATTTGGGGGAAGGATTTTGTGTTCATAGATAATACATACCATCACGAGTAAGAAGAGGGTACCCTAATCTAAAGCCTTCCTAGTCAAATAAACCGCTGCAATCACTTATTTCAATGAATATTTTACTTCCAATATAGACGGTTGCTCAACGAGGTAAAAAACTTTAGAAATATGCAACATACCTTAGTTACTTGAATTGGTTTTCTAGCAGAAATGAATCTGACAATCTTTTCTATTGCGTAAAGAAAGAGGGGTGCAACAATCCATTTCCAAGCCTAACAGATAAATCTTAATAGTTAATGAATAAAAAGACAATTATAACCTCTTTTAGTAACGCCTAGTTTGAAAAGCAGCCCCATACTTAGTTTCTAGTGCTATTTAGCTTACGGTCTGAATTCTCAAATCTACCTTACTGAAAAGTTTGTTTTGGTTAACACAACTAAGCAAGCCCATAGCAAAGGGCTTTTTACAAAAACTGTTCTAACTATTAGATATGGACACAAACATAGACATTTCTACTGTTTCGAATAATGTCATTTGGCAAGGTTTAGGTTGGATACAGATGCTGAAATACTAGATATTTCTCTCTCATAACAGTGCAGAATTATTTTGGACATTTTCATAAAGGATGGAATGCATGACTTAAAATGCTGCAGGTTGTTGGCAAAGCGTTACAGTTATCACGAATTTTTTCTGTCAGTCATTTTATGAGATTGTAGATAGGCTTTGTAATATCATAGTACACGAAAATACTATCTTTTAAAGAAATCTAGTTTGTACCTGCGGAGGATCAGGAGCAAAATTTGGCTTTCCCTCGCAGCGCTGTGTAAAATTAGAATTTTTCATCTTCATCATGAACTCACAGCCAGGATGGTGCTCTTCAATATTGGTTTGATATTTGACTATTCCTCTAAAAATGTAACAGAAAAATGAATTCTAGTAAACTCAGCATAAAAGAGAAAGAATGAAGGGTGGGAAAAATAAATCGATATAGAAGAAATTTGTCTTTTACAAAAAGGTGTTTTGAATTTAACACAAGATTCTTTCAAACTTACCCAAATCCATGCACGACCAAAAATGCAAAGAATGCAATGGATAAATGATGTGAATACCAAAATATTTCAAAACGGGATCGTCTAAAAATAAAAAAAAATTCACCAATAACAAGGAGTGTAATGTAGTTTGAAACGGGCTCTTATCACTCGAAAATATCTACAGGGGCATGTCAGGTAGGGGATGTAGGTATCAATGACTGTAAGGGCTATGATACTCCCTCCAATTTTTCATGTTTGGCCAGAAAATCTTCAGTTGGTCTATAAAATCTTCTTTTCATCAGTTAAACAGCCTATTGGCAGGTGAAAAGCACCCAATTTTTTCTATGTCTTCGTCGGTGGACACCCACTAGTCTGGAAGTCAAGTTATGCCACTGCATAGCGATCAGCATCGTGCAAAACTACCAGGGCTGAGAATTCAGCAAGTTACCAGGCATGGTTTATGACTAGCCTAAGTTCTCTACGTATGAGAAAGGGTCTTGCTTATAACATTGCATCATATTCACCATTGCTTTTCGATGGGTAGATGTAGCTTCAGTGGATCTATTGACTATTTGCTGTCGTCCGCAAGTTCATAAATGCCTCTTTGTCTCAAATTTGAAAGGTTTGGAATTTTTCGTTCACTATCTTTTTGCGAGGGTAGCCTTATTATATTTGTGAGGGTAGCCTTATTTTTGTCCCATGGAACTAGTTTGTGACAAGAAGAGAGCATCAAACATATTGATGTACTCACCTAACAGGTGGAAGAGAACCAAAAACCTAGAATTTAACGAAAATAGTTAGAACAGCCAAAAGAGCATTATCAAACTTAGAGAAACATAATAGTTAGCACATAACAGTCATAAATAATCATGTTTGATCCATAATGAGAAAATGCTAAGTGTCTTGACGAAGGAGATCTGAAACTGTCTAAAGAATCTTGGATTTCAAAGTAAAGGATACTTCTGATAACAACTTACCAGGACAGCCAAAATAAGCAACATCGCAATTCCTGTGTAGACAGGCACTGTAAAAATCAATTTAAAGGTCATTAGTGCCTAAACATAATTGCTCATTGTATTTAACAGTCGATCGTGACAGAAAGCCTTTTCGATGAAATAGTTTGCATAGTATGAGCATTTAAGTCAATCATCTCTTGCAAATAGAAGACGAATAGGAGAATGATCTTCCTACAGAGAGATACATATATTGACGTTAAACATAATTGTTACAGCGCTAGCAATACAAAACTTATCTATGCTAACAAACACAAACTTGGAAATTGCACAAAACAACGCTATAAAAACCAATAAAATCCTCATAGGAAGCTCGGTTTGATAAATAATTTCATGCACATTCTCAAAGAAGAAGGCCTCGTATTCATTTAAATTCTGTTACTACCCAATTGCTTTTTTCGTTCACAATTCAAACTTGTCTTCGTTACATATAATTTGCACAAGACATCTTAAATATAAAATGAAGATTAACTTACGTTTTTTAAGAAATAGAAGTATGTTGATCTAGAAGAAAGTGAAATGAAACATCAGTAAACAAGAATTGTTAACGTCTTATGCACTGCAAAGCAAGTGCTAAATTTTGCTTCAATTTTGAAAGAATTCTAATTCAAAACTGCAGAAACAAGAAAGAGCGCGGAAGGCATCAAGACAACAACAGAGGTGTAAGTGGATATTTCAAACGGAATCGGGGGTGCTCAGTCCCTGAGAAGCAAGGGTTTGTGGTAGTAAGGATGCCATTGAGGGCCATGGGTGAAGCAATAATTACTTACATTTTACGAATTTTATAAGGAACATTTACATTAGTAACAATTTAAGAAAACTTGAGTCAAAAGGGGCTGCGAGAGGTGGTTTGCACTAAATGACTTTCTCTATATATGCTTCGAAACTTTCAGAATGACATAAACTTCAAAACCTTACTTAATAAGTATTTATCAGACATCTTACTGTAAATTGTGTAACAAAAAAACGCTATAGACACAAAATAACTCCTTCCTTTACAAAGAGCACGTATTTTTGCAATTTTATTGTTTGAAAAAATATCAACATTTCAGTTCAATACACCAATGCCTTTGTTCATCCGATGACATGTTCAATACACTAATCCGATGACAGATCCCTTTGTTCAAAGTGCGTAGCTCACAAAATAGACGACAATCATTCCAAGATCGTTAATTTTGAGACAAAAATGACAATATCTCTTGCTGTCTAGAAGGTAAGAATTATAGTAAATTTTCCCTTACATTATCTTTGTCTGCAGAAATGTTTAGTTCGGGATTATCTTCTGAGAAATGCACATAGAAGCGATAACAATTGGCAGCATGTGAAAATGTGTGGATCACTACAATCGGAAAGCAATAAAATATATAAGCAACTGTAGTATAAAAATCAAAATTTCTGATTTATAGGAAAATAGTGCTAGAATTTTCCAAAATGACTTTCTTTCCCTAGCAGTATAGATAGGTGCTGGCAATAGAAAATTTGTTTCAGTAGAAATTAGCCTTCATTTTGCTAATTTGTGTTTTGAATTGAAGAATTTTAGTATACATCGTAGCAATGCATTTGAATAAAGACAGGGTTTGTAAGCAGGGAGATATAATGAGGATTTCTTACGTGATAATACAACTACTGATATTCCAATAACAATATGAAATTTGTTGTTGTGGTTGAACAGTCTTCTGTGTGCTCCTTTGATATACTGTAAATGGAAAAGAAACGATGTCTTATAGACCTTATTTCTTTGAAACAGAAGGAAAAGATGCGTGAAACAATGAATGCTGATGAGCATTGGACCCAATGATACTGATACTACGCAAGCCGGAAAGAGCAATTAAAATTAGTAAAAGTACACTCTTTTTTTATAAGAACAATTTTATAAGAACACGAGCCTAAAAATGGGTCAAAAGTTAAGAAAAAAATTAAGAACAAGCTGAGGCTGAGCTTCTACAAAATGCAATTTTGAATTACGTTTTTTCTCAAAATCGAGGATTTTTAGCGATGTGTCGGTGCTTCTAATATTCAAACTTTTCGGCAACCGAAGGTTGTCTCACTCACTTTGTTGGAAATTGGGGCCTGAACACCTCCCTAGAGTGAAAAAGCTAGCACTCGCACTGCTTACACCCTATTAGATTAAGAACATATTAAGAACAATCCAGCCTCAGATTTTCGAAAAAATTAAGAACAGTCATCCTGAACTTAAATTTACTGGTTCTTATAAAAAAAAGAGTGTAAGGCAATGTTTATTTTGCATTGTTAGAAATCAAATACAGATTGACCATTTAATGAAAAATGAAGATCAAATGAAGTAAAGGACAAGCAACAACTAAGGCGCATAAAAACATTGCAAATTATGATTTTGAAGGTTAAGGCAAATGCAGAAGATTACTGTGTTTCCGTTCTAGAAGGTTTTCTATTTCCTACACAAAAAACATCCGTTTTTCGGGGTAAAACTTTCTGATTTAGGTCAAACTCGAGGGAGAGGGAGTTAACCCCCCTCTCCAATAACTCTAATAATTTTTGACGTTGATAAATATTATGTGTATATATAAATGCTTCGATGGATTACCTTTTGAATATGAACTCTCAGCCAAGTGAGCAAAGATTTACAAACAGGTAACAATATTAGAAAGCAGTTAAAATATAGCAGAAATGCAGTTGCTCGGGAAACGCACAATGACTCCTGCAAAAGAAAAATACCGGAAATAGTAAGTAGGGGTCGGTAAAATGTTTTGATTTCATGATTATGATTATTATTATGATTCACAGTTGATATTACATTCAGAGCAGCGTAATGAGCATGTGGTAATTAGAAGCCATTTTAAACGATGTTTATTCAAAGCCACGTTCTGGGAAATACCAAATATGAACAATGGTCTGTCTATATTTACATCTGTAACTGTAATATGCTTTTATGTTGCACATTCTTTAGGTTCTATTATTAGAAAAGTATTACATCTATTTTTTAGGGTGGTCGAACAATGAACACATTTCTGACAATCGTCTCAGACACTACTTTTTTATTGGCAAAGAAACTTCGGGATCTTTTGTTTTGCAAACAGATCCCAAAACACTTGAATGAAAAGTGAGCCTTTCTGAAGAGTGCTCTATGGTATCAACAACAATAACAAATAAATCTAATTGTCTATAAAAATTTTGTCCTTTTTTTCTCAGTCTTATTTAGAAAAGTGAAAGCCAAGTTTTCGGTCCAACTTGTGATTCGCAACTTTATCAAGATAATAGCCTAAATTTAGGCCAGATTAAAGTGAACGGCCCGCAGGCCTGTAGGTAGCTAGATATCTGGGCTGTGAACATTAGAAGTTTAAAATTTCGAAGCCATTTTGCTATTATTAGTGAGTTTCTTTTGACGGAGTCCCAAACACCTAATGTTTTATCAACCTTTGTTTTATGAACCGTCGACCAACTTGTATTTTGTGAACCTTTGGCCCGCAAAAATGCTTGCTACGAAAGGTGGAGCAAGCACATTGAATTTTAACGTCTTTCATTTGATTGGCTAATTTTCTTTCATCAGAGGTATATTAAAAGCATTTGCCAAAAACAAACGATTGCTTACCCCAAGAATTCGACGCAAGTAGTAGTATTGAGCACCACTACAATACTTTTGGTACGAGAAGTAAAACATCACAGCATTTGATATTATCCACAATACCTAGAAAACAATCTCTAGCATAAAAAACTATTGTAAATGATAGTAACGACAACTCCTGTTAACTCGAACATTCGCTAACTCGAACTGCTTTTATCTTTTTCCTGTATCGATTACACTGTATTATCAGGATATATATGAAGCATTGATTAGAAAGCATACTACGCTTTTTCTTTTGCAAAACTTTTATTGTCATAGTTGATAAATAAACACTTATTTGTGACTTTTTTGAACGTGCTAGAGGCCGTAAAAATTTTAAGTGCGTAATAAACGCATCCCTCTTGTCAATTTGTCAAAAATTTTCCAACCTCTCCCCGCACTATTAAGAACTTCTGCTCTAGTGAGAATCCCCCCCCCCCCCCTCCCGCTTATAATTTTCTTCATTGAATCAATCATTCTGTTGCTACATTCTCTAGAGTTTAGCTTTTTGTAAATCATTTCCCCTATTGTGCATTTCTATCCGATGGAGAGTTATATTTATGCATTTTTCTAGACTCCCCCTTCATTCCGATCCCTCAGTTGTGAAATCCTTTGATGGTCACATGTCTAATGATGACAAAAAGGTAAAGGGCGGCCAAAGCAATTCAGCTCCCACACCCCGACCACGCCTTACTATCAATTGCTTTTCAGAATTGAGCTTTTAGCTATCCTTGGTGGCAGGAGATATGAACATCTTCTCTGACACTTGTTTGAAACATTCCACTTCAGGTACATCTGAAATAAAATTGCTTAGCTCGACTTCAGGTACTTCTGAAATGAAAGGATCAACCTACAGAAAAGTTTTCTCAGGCGTTTAAAGTTTTCAAGAAACAGTTTCTTGTTGGATATAAGGAGACAAACTTTAGTTCTCAATTATCAACAATCGGTCTCAATGAAAGGGAATACGATTGGTCCAAAGCCAGGGACCCTTATCCAAAAAAAATAATGCGAAAATATTATTTATTTACATACTCATGGGTGATTTCTTTCTTTGGCTGTCGTCAGAAAATTGCACAAAATTTCTTGGTAATGTGCAAAACGTTAATAAAAATATCCAACCAAAATTAGGGCATGGTTGCCAACTTCACCCGAAATGCAATATTCCATGAGCAAATCAACATTCTTATTAAACCAAAATTGAAAGTTTTATTCAGTGATAAGACTACAACACAGGTTGTTTGCAAACAAACAGTAAACACAAACCCCTTATCTGGATACCATAACTAGAACATCATGTCAATGACTGTGCCTAATTAAATATGGTTTCATGGACCCTCGACCATTTTGGAGTGCAAGAGGGGTAACTAGCACACTTCACGTTCACAATTACTCTTCCCTATTCTTACTTTCTTTGACTCTATGAGTCTCTGGTACCCAGTAATGCCATACCCGGCAAAGTCTTAAGAATTCTCAATAAAGTTATCTAGTGATGAAGCCATACATATCTATTTTCAGAATCTTTTAACTTGAACCAAATATCTTGAGAGACCATCACGAAATATATTTTATTTAGTTAAATATGTAGAATGTGTTGCAAATTGGCCAAGAGATAATCTTTCCCCTCCAAACATCGTGCTTTTCGATTCTTCCAAAGCCTATTTTTGGTAAATT